GAGATTGAGAAAGCCTCAAACTCGAGGTTCTGAATAAAAGTCTTGAGTCTGAAATCGGAGACTATAATTTTAAGCAAAGTTAAAAGCGCGAGTAAGCGTCGTATTACGTCATATCGGTCACTTTCCAAATAAATTTGACTGGATAGACTACCGTTTTTGACATGGAGTACGATTCCGACCAAAGATGGAATCACCCGTCGAACCTGTGATGAGGCTATTACATGGTATTATTATCCTCTCGGCAAATGAAATTTGAAGATTTTGAATTTTATAAAATGCCTGCGCTCATCGATTTGAGGAAGTGATCGACCAATCGGAAATCATGAAGGGCGCTTATATTTCACAGTGTTTCGAATACATATCTCGCTGAATATTAATATATCGCTGAACGTAATATGTTTGTAATAGGTAATATTGTATGTTTTTTCAGGTTTCTCAAACAAATTTCATGTCCCGCTTTGGTACACTGGTCTCACTATTTTGGGTTAGATCAGTGGATATACAGGGTGTTCATAAAGTCTCTTTACAATTTCAATTTTGTTTTGAGGTCAGTTTTCAATATATGTTAACCAAGTTTGTGGTTTTTCAATTAGTAATTGTTTAAGTCCATCTACTTCATTTAATATATATTTGAGGGCCGAAATAATATATATGGTATCGTAGGACTCTATGGACACCTTATATATTGGATAACCTAACAAACACCGTTATGAGTGTTGTTATTACGTCGTGTGGGGGAGGGGGCCTAGGTTGCCGCGGTTTACTAAGGATGTTACGTCATGCAGGTTTGTAGCATAGACAATATTAATAATAGGGTTTTACGGAGAGAAACCGTTTTGACAAATAATTCGTTGTCGTTTGGAGTGAACCTGTAAGGCAGTGGTTTTTAACCAGGGTTGCGATGCCCTCTAAAGCAAGGGTGTGCAACCTTTAATAAAGCAAAGCCAGATAGAAATAACTGGGTGAAACTGCAGGCACAAATATTTTGGTTATTGATCTTGTGATATTCGTTGTTTGCACAAGCTAGGTGTTAAGGCATTGTAACGTCATATGCATAGGTAAAAAATCGGACTCGAGTATATGCTTTGCAGCACCAAGGAATTGGAATTAGTGCACGTACCAAATTAAATTAAAATTCGTCTCGCGGGCCGCACATCATTCAAAATTGGCACTTCTCCGCGGGCCGCACAATTTTCCCGCGAGGGTCACATTTGGATCGCGGGCCGCAGGTTGCACATCCCTGCTATCTATAAATGTTGAAAACCATTCCATAAGACCGAAACATCAATTTTGCAATTAGCGTAAACGAAAACAGATGTCAGTTGTTTGCAGAACGCGCCTACCGTCTGTTGTGAATAACACAGAAATTGCAGGTGCGCTATATTTTGAAGTTTTGTGTAGCGATAGTTTGTAGGCAGAAATTAAAGTGGCCCGCACGCTACCAGAAATGTGTATATTTGGCCCAGTAGTACATGACACTGCCGACTGCTTATGTAACGATCATCAAATATATTTTGCAAACGTACAGTTGAAATTTTTTGTAATTAAATGAATTTGTTTAGTTTAGCAGTATAATCAGCATTTGCAGTGGAGATTACCGGCTTAGGCTTCTAGTCCATATTAGTCCACTAAAAAGCAACAAATAATATAAGGTCGTTAGAGGGCGGTTCCGAACATTGAAATTAAGGTGTCAAAGTATAATTGTATAAATTATACAGTTCAAAGGATATTGACAATGCTGTATTGTTATTCAATTTCATGTTTTTCAAAGTAGAGAATGGGTAATTTTTATGTAAAAATTGTTTTTTTCTCACAATGAATCCCCCATACAACAAAAAAATTATTTACTATGAACAGCGATTATGCGGCATTTACAATGAGGTATAAACTTTTCTAGCTCCGGCAACGACGTAAGACTGTGGGGAGATTATTTGATGTATAATCAGTTATCAGTGACTGCTTGTATCTGGCTTTTTTTTAAGCGAGAGGCGCGAGTAAGCGTCATATTGCGTCATATTAATAAAAATTGACCCTCTCCCCTCCACCAAAAAAAAAAATGCCAGAATCACATCTTATCATGATTTCAGTACACGCAATTCAAAGATTTTGGTCGAACAATCGTGAATCATTAAGTACGCGTATATACAGTGTGAGTACCTTTACATGAATTCCTTTGACAATTTCGATTTTGTTATGAAGTCACTTCTCACTATATCCCAACCAAGTTTGTTGTTTTTTCATCAGTAATTGTTTAAGTACTTCTACTTCATTTAATATATATTTGAGGGCCGAATTAGGACTTTATGGACACCTTATATATTGGATTACCTAACAAACGCCGTTATGAAAGTTGTTATTACGTCGTGTGGGGAAGGGGGCATGACATAGGTTGCCGCGGTTTACTAAGAATGTTACGTCATGCAGGTTTGTAGCATAGAAAATATTAATAATAGGGTTGTAAAAAGAGAAACCGTTTTGACAAATAATTCGTTGTTGTTCGGACAACCTGTAAGGCAGTGGTTATTAAACCAGGGTTCCGCGGCACCAGGAGTTCCGTTACCCGTTCGTACGACCCGAGTTTTGGAGTTTTTAAGTTGAAATTCGAAACCGTTACTAACACGAGCTTGAAGTAAAATATAAAGTCATACATAGCACTTGCTGACTTCTGGGAAAATTATTCACTGGTAGTTTATTCGAACTTTGGAAATCACCATTCGACAATAAGTAGTAACAATTTGAGTGTGGTCCTAACTGAAAGGCAGGTGTTTTAGTTATTTGCAAATATACAACATTAACGCATCACTTCGGGAGAAAATAAAACCCGCGTTTGAGATTGATGAGAAAGCCCCAAACCCGGATTTCTAAGGTCCTGAATCAGCCGTATTACGCCATATTAAAATATTTGCTCCCCATAAAAAATGACTGTATTGTGAGCTGTCTAGCACTCTTAGCGTTATTAAAATGTCGATGTAATTATGTAGTGTAGAGGAAGCCCGACCTGGATGTCATCGGTTATATCTGGAGGACATGACATAGGTTGCCCCTGGTCATCGGAAGGGCATGATCGAGGGTTAGGTAAGGCAAATGTATTTTATAAATCGAGCGGGATTATAAGACACACTGTCAATGAATTGATTAGATTGTTTTTTTTCATACAATAAGGCATATGTGGATAGGAACATTGGCTTGTAAGGCGATCGATTTTTGAGAAAAAATGCGCTTTGTGCTTCGTACAATACGGTAATTCTGATGACATCTCAGATTCGAATTCCATGCCCGCTATCTCACCCAGAGTGTAATAAAGTGTAATAAAGAGAGCCGCGAGTAAGCGTCGTATTACGTCATGTGTCGGCAACCTACGATCCGCGGGCCGGATCCTGCCTTTGGAGTAACACAATCCGGCCCTCGACGCTTCCCTGAATTATAGTAACAAAACAGCTGTTTTGACGATTATATTTTTCACGTTACACAATTCATTGTGAGACGCGTGTAGACTAAATTATATTATAATCTAACAAGTATAAAAATCACAATTACTCGTTTATTGAGCCTATAATTTAATTATAATTAGACAAATGGCAACAGAACGTAGAAAAGTTGATGCTGGATGCAAAGGGTTCAATGGCGTCAAAAATGTAATGCAATGAGGAAATAAATCTATATTCTATTCGAGAGATGTATCATTGTTTCATTTTAATTATCAAAAGCATCATCCGTTCGGTTTTCAACTTTCTAAAAATATGTGCGGCCAGCCAATGACTTGCAACCATTATTTGGGCCCGCGAACGACAAAAGGCTGCCGCCCCTGTATTACGTCACATTAAAAAAGGACTTGATTGTATTACATCTTATCATGATCTTGGTACACGAAATTTGGAGAATTTAAAATTGAAATAAATTCAATTTCAGGAAGTGATCGACCAATCGGAAATCATGAAGGACGCGTATATATTTCATAGCGCTTAGAATATATCTCTCTCACCGAGTCTTAAATATCGCTGTGAATAATGTTATTTTGTTGAGCGTGACCTCTGTCGCATTTTGTCATTGGTTACATCGGATGGGCTTGACCTAGGACGTTACGTCAGGTACGTGTATTACATAATAAGGTGCACCAGCCAATAAATTTCTTAGATTTTTTTTCATACGTAAGGGACACTGGGCTATAATACGCTTCCGTTACCAATAGTTTTTTTAAGCGTGGAGCGCACGATCGATTTTTGAGAGGAAATAGATTTGAAGTGCGCCTTATGGTCCGTAAAATACGGTAAATATGATAACATCGCAGTTCACGGTACTTCCGTAGTATGTGAACCAAGATGGTGGACACCAGAACGTAGTATGTGTACCAGATTAGAGTTCGGCCATAACTTCAGATACAAATCCTACGAAAGTCGCTTGGCTAGTCCCCTAACTTGTAATACAATTAAAATAAGGGAACTTGGAATAAAATAATGGCTTTACCCTAACCGGGTACACATACTACGTTCCGGTGTCCGCCATCTTGCTTCACATACTACGGGAGTACCCAGTTCACTAATCTCGGATTCAAATCCTATGCTCTTCACCTTGTCTAGAGTGTAATAGATTTGGTGTCGTTGCTTATACGTTTCTGTTTCCTTCAATAAATTGTAGATATCGATAGGTATTAGTTCACGGGATAAAGCATGTTGACATTGTTAGGTTCTGGGTTCGCTGCCAGAGTGTCTTAGTCATATTCAAGTTTATTCTTTCCATCCAGTAAAAAATAACATATGAAATAGACAAAATACAAAACTAAACATACCGTTTTACCGGGGAAAGAAAGTCGCGGGGAACCAGAATTGGTTAAGTTAGGCATATCACAATCTTTACTCCATTTCTTTCATATGCTTTACGCAGTAAAATATATACCGTGAAAAAAAACAAAGAAAACTTATTCACTTTTGTTCATACTTAAACATCAGTTCACTTTGTGTATGATTAGTTTCAGAAATCTAGGACGCTTTGCACGAAAGTGGTGTTCAATGTAGAATACGTTTCAAATGTCCTGGTTTTGTAGACAGACTTGCATCCGTTCATATTTGTAATGAGCCATGAGAAATTTATGAGTCCTGTTTGTGGGGCCATCCTGTGCGAGCTGGACAGGTAATAAATTTGATCCATCTTGTTACCTTACAGACATTCTACACTTAAGCATTTAGCAGGCTAATTCAGAAGTCAAATATGATTTTTGTCAAAGTATTCTGCTTTTTTCTTCTCATCGGCTTGTCTTTCGGAAAGAAATTACCTGGTAAGACTTGTGATAATTTTAATATAATAAGTGTTTCTTAGGGCATCGTGGTTCTGGTTAGAGTGCTCTTAGTGCTGGTAAAATATTTCAACCGACATCATTCTTCTCGGCGACATGTCGCATTGTTTTAATCTTTGCGTTATGAATACGCTTGTCATCGCACCTCTGATCCCCCTTTTTGGTTCGCTTTCCATTTTTATCAAAAGGATTTCTGGAACCCGCCGCTGGTCGGTTCGGCTACCTCCACCACCAAGTCCATGCATCTGGAACAGTAACTGGCCAACTAATCTATACCCGACATGGTCCGGTAGCCGAAAGAGAGGCCGTGGTTTGCGATATTACCAAGCGGGCTTCCGGCTTTCCTCTCGCCGAGTGAAATACGAAAATCCTTTGCCCATTTTAACTCCGCTACCACAAGCAGCAATACCCGACTGCAACTATTGGGTTTACTAGCATCTATTGTCATTTTATATTTTACAGATGGAGTCTGTGTCACCAAGCTAGTGAAAGGGAAACTCATCTCTGTGGGAGATTGCAAGGTAAAACTAAAATGATTACAAACTAAGTAACTAAAACCCCCAAATCCTTTCCATCTTGTCTAATTAAATCCGATTTCCCCAAAGGTATCGGTAACTTCATCAGAATAGCCTCCCCAAAAAAATCACAAAAATTCTCCTCAGTTGGGAAACGCAGGTTTGGAATCAGGAGTTGAATAAAAACCCTTTCCAACTTTACGGCCTGGCTTATTTTGTAGAACTAATTTTGAAAACTTATGTTTATTTAACAATATTTATTTAACTTTATTTCACAGAAAGGCGACGGATCTGGTAAGAAATTAAAAAAACAGATTTTTTAAAGGGCAGGCCAGCGAGTCATGTTCCCTGCTAAATAAATATTTTAATTTAAAAAAAAATTGATTCATTAATTATGCTTTATGCATATTTGATTTTAACGAAAACAGTAAATCGGACGGTTTTATTTGAAAAAATACTCTCGTCAACGTCTTTCTAACATAAAACTTACAGTGATCTGAGATAAATTTAATGATTTTTACATTATAACTTTGAAGTTTTACTCAGAATATGAGCTTGTGTTTAATGCGTGATGATAACAAGCCTTTTAATTGTTCAACCAAAATAAATTAATTTACGACTCTTACGCTTAGTAGAGTTACCTACGCCAAGTGCGTGTAATAGGAAATTAGCTGGTGGTCCCCATACCGATACTGAACTAAAGACATCTAGCGAGATCAACTTTTGGTTGACACTTTGGTATGCGATTGCTCGACATGACCTCATTCGTATACCAAACTGGCACTAATTGTGTGTGATATAATGATTGGAATAAGTTTCTTCATATATTGTGAAATGAACATGAACTTTGACTCATAATAATGGTGTTTAAATCTTAGACTTGAATGCCTGCATCGTCGTTTAAACAAATTTCATCTTTTACAGAGATTGCCAACCTGATTAAAGAAAGTCTCGCAAAGAAGCAACAACGTAAGTTATTTCAATATTTTGTAAGGAGTCGCATATTTCAGACTGCAACTCAACATGCCGAAACATAACGTTTAGAAGGCCTAAGCACTCAAGTCTTTAGTTCCCTATCCATGTCGTTCAAAATATAAACAAAATGAAAAATTTATTCCAATCGAGCCATTATGAATTATTTCATTAAACACTGAAGCACCATTAAAAAATTGTCTATGAAAATTTCTGCGTTACGCCTTTTCTCTTTGTGCCCAAAGCACTTACTTATTTCGCTTAATGGTTAATTCAGCCCTGCCTTGTTTCACTAACTGAGATGGATACGAAGGTAGCCACCACATTTCCAAAAAACAGAATCTCTTCGTTTTAGCATTGCATTCCTTGTCGCTCAGTCGAATTAAATGTAGAATGTGAAGCTTTGGCGCAATACTTTCAAGGCAGTGGTTACCAATTTTATTTTCAAGCGACCAAAATTTTTTTTAAATAAATTTTACAACATCTCGCAACCCAAGGATATGCTCAAATACTATGCGGTACGTATTGCTCATTGCTTGAATGGTCACAAAATCAACTGTCTGACTAATAATAGCAGATGACAAGTATTTACGCTGTGATACTTCCCACATATACAATTATTACTGAGCAACAATGAATTTGCTAGAAAATAAAATTAGTAATTTTTAGGTTTTTGTTGAAAAAACAAGCAACTCAAAAAATTTTCGACCCATAGGTTGAAAAACACTGTTCCAAGACAAATGGGAACATTTTAATCCCAGATTACATGAAATCATTTTTGAAAGCGGTTTAATTTTTAACATAAAATATTCAATGACCACAATAATGTTTTCAGAAAAATGTGACGTCACATACAAGAAAAAATGCTTCCGAGCACGATGCCGAACCAACTTGCGAATCAATGAACGGAAAACCCGCGAATATTTACGACCTCGCCCATTACCAGCTGCTGCTCCCTCATCTACGTTCACTGATTCCTGCTGGTCAGACATATATTGACATCTGGACTGGGATGAAATAAAAGGTCAGTTGATGGATCACAATCTCAGCAGAGTTTGACTCATTTTTGTAAACTTCAGGTTTAGCTAGAACTATGACAGAAATTTACAATTTACAATTTACATTTTTGTTTTTTAAGTTTGGCCCAAGCCTCATTTAATTGGGCTTGTGTTTTTGTGTGCGTGCTGGTGGGCAGGCACATGAGATACTTCATGTTTTAAACTTTTTTGTAAGTTTTGCTTGCCCTCCAGAATTCTCCATTTTAAATTTAGGTTTGTTATGGAGTTTTCGAAATAAACTATCTATCTATCTAACATAGAAAAAAATATAATTATGCCCAACAGCAACAATGTTTTTCAATTACAAAAACGTTTTACAATTGTTTTATTCTTAATGAGAGTTCTGAGTCTGCATTCTGTTCACAAGTACTTTACAATCTTTTTCCTAAGATCACAACCAGATGGATATGCAATTTTGAACTCTGGCTGAAGCTGTTTGTATTGTCGTTGTAAATTTGCTTGCTTCGGCACAGCAACCATTCTTTGACAAACAAGACACATGGGTTTCCCATTTATCTCTGCAAAAGCGAATTCATTGTTCTACGCAGACTTAAAAACCCTGTTTTCGTCGTTTACTTTCTTCCTCTTTGTCGCCATGACTTATTGTTTTTAAGTTGGACACAGCGTAATACTGTTGCAAAGCGCACTTCCGAAGGTAGATAAAGTGTGCGATGAGCGAGCTAAGTAACTCAATTTTTACGTAACAATACGTAATCTGTTTTATGTGATGACACAATTCATGGTCTTATCATGCGCTGTAAGGGATGAGAAGAATGATACCGAATTTAAAAAACGTTTATATTCGTTGCGCCGCAGATTAATGATAGATGTTTGGGTAAATCAAAGATCTTTGGCGGGTCGCATTGAGAACCCCTACTTCAAGGTCTCGTCTGCGATACACAAATCATAGAATGTTTTTCGAGGACCGAATAACAGAGAATCATACTTAACACAAGTACGATAAATCTGCCAATCCCGTAGCCTCAATACGGGACAACACTTCGTTGTAGTGTTTCAGGGAACAGCCTATCAATAAATCAATTTGATTTTGGTCACTTTGACATATGATATAAATATCTAAATTTTCAAAGGTGACAAAATCAGGATTGTCCGGAGTGAATTGGAATCGAATACAGTCGACTTTTTGCCATATCCGATGTAATTAACTTCGCTCATATTCTACTTGTGTTAAAAATACAAAACCAACCCTAAGAAATTGAGACGACTCTTGTTGTAGTTGCTAATTAACTCTTTGAACTCTGAATCCCCAGAACGATGCTGCTCTCTCACCCTGACCTCCCACGGCGTCGCATCGATTCGACGCGTTAAAAAATTGTAATATCCCTAATTTCAAATCAAAATAACTTCTAAACCATTAGATATCAGATGGTCTGTAATATGTCATATAAAAGCTTATCTAGTCTTTTATTTTTAACTGGCATTATTTTTCATGAGATGTTTTGATGAGATGTGTGGGCCTTTTTTTAGTCCCATCTACTATTTTTTTGTATTTTGGTAATATTTAATACATTTTTTAGAAATGTAATTTTGAAAAGTATACAAAATTACCTTTCGGAGAATATACGGATGACTTTCTTAACATACGCATAACTCATTTTATTGCAGAATTTGTACTATCGATTCGAATGGTTTGCGAACAAAATTGATCAACTATTTTGACGCCAAGTTTGCGTAACGACGCAAAGGGCGACGACGACATCGTCGTGATAACGTTCATGCGACGTTTCGTACGTAACTCTTTGCGTGAGGTATATTGCGACATTGCACATCTGGTCGTTCACAGCTTGAGTTCAGATTGTGTCATCATTGCATCAGTATCATATCCTCGGCCGCAGATAAAACCCTTTCAGACGAATTTTGATCGAACCTAGTAAAATTGCTAGAATATAAAGGCCATTTTATATACGTTTACTATTTGGATATGGGACGAAAATGAATGGCCAAAACGAAATATTTGATCCTCATGCAATTATGAGGTTCCGCCGGAAACATCAAGGCTAATTATTCACCGTTGGATATCATGAAGATTGAATAAAAAAAATTGATAACGGGTACACGGAAGACATGGTGGCACCAGTAGCTCACCTGGTCAGTGTTTTACATTTTGCGGCCTCATAAGATTTTCGAAATTACTGCATATACGCTACATTCCTGATATCGCCATATTTACAATGGATTTTAAACGAAAGCTTTGTCCAGATGAAATACTGAATAGTATTCATCTATCGGAAGAAGAAAATATGGCACAATAAAACTCAGCAATGGCGCTAAACAATGCATCCATCGATATGTTCCATCATTCCGTTTTTAGAAATCCTTATTTTTGCTATTCGTATTTTTCATATCTTTATGCAATTAAATCGGCAATAACACTGCGTATTGTGTGTTTTAGTCAAACAGATTTTGAGGCTGGATGTAATGCGTAAATTCCCCGTGTATCGTTTACAAGTCGTTAGTCGCTTCACGATTACGAACTTAAGTAAATGACGTTACGAGCATGCGAGGAAAAGTGTTTCTCGTAGGAAACGTAAACGTGCTAGGTGCCAACGTAATTGCTTAACGTCGCTGCGTAACGGCGTAAATGTGTTAGGTCGTTATTTACGTCAACTTGACGTCGCCTCGATCTTGCGACAAACAAAATTACGAATAAAAATGCTTCTAAAATTTGAATGGTGCAACATAAGTTCAATCTAATGGTATCACTGGAAAGCTATCTTCAAATTCTACAAATTTTGTCGATAATGTATTAGGTTTAATCAAAAACAAATTGAAGTTTTGTCAATTACATTTGAGCAATTTTCAGAAGTTTTTTATGCTTTTTGATTTTGCCAATTTTCATAAGATGATCACAATATTTTATCTCAATTTCAATATTATACTTAGTCCTGTAGATTATCTTTTACACGATGTAAAACTTGTCTAAATATAATAAATGGTTCGCGAGATTCAAAGTTGCATACCTCGTACGAAATGCGAAGGTCGTGCATCTTTTTCTGTTGCATTTTTCAAATCCTTTTTGGTCGGTTTCTTTGTGCTCTACTTTCAATTTTGCTCGTACTAATAAATCTCTTAGTGTTGGACATTTTCTGTAGCCTATAATGGGGGGGTTGGGGAATATTTTCTGAAGTCGGGCGTCGCGGTGTAGGATGTATTGGTACTTTTGAAATATTTTTCTGATTGGTGGGAGAAGTGGGTGGTACGTCGTGACCAGAGGTGTGTCTTCTTTTCGTTTTGTCGGCTTTTTTGGTTTCAGTATCGTGGTTCTATCCGTATTTCTTGCTCGCTCTATGGCTTTGTTTAACAGGTGCTCGGGGTAATTCCTCTTTTTTAGATGCTGCTTGAGGATGTCACTGTGTTTGTTGAAAAATTCGGTAGTTGAACATATTCTTCTAATTCTTATTGCTAATCCATGGGTTATATTCCGGTGTACATGTCTTGGGTGGCAGGATGACGGCAATAGATATTGGTGGGTGTCTGTTGGTTTGGAGTAGAGTTCCGTTTCTAGTCTATTATCAATTAAGTGGACCATTGTGTCTAAGAACGGTAATTTGGTTTGGGAATGTTCAAATGTAAACTTGATTGATGGGTGGTATGAGTTCGCGAATTTGACAAATTTTTCTAGGTTTTCTAATCCAGAGGTCCAAATTAATTTGCAGTCGTCTATAAATCTCAAATAAGTTAAGGGTTTGAATGGCGATTTTTCGATTATTTCCTTTTCTAGTATTGCCATGAAACAGCAAGCGTATTTGGGTGCCATCTTCGTTCCCATGGCCGTTCCTTGAATCTGTATGTAGTTGCGGCCATTGAATTCGAAGTTATTATTGGTTAGCACGCACTCAGCTGCCTTAATGGTCCAGTGAATCACAACTTGGGTCTGTCTTATTAATTTGTAACATCTTTTGTAGGGCCGAAATTCCTTCTGCGTGGGGTATGTTGGTATACAGTGATACGACGTCCATTGTCACTAGGAGGGATCCTGTTGGGATGTGTCCAATAGTTTGAATTTTGTTTAGGAAATCCGTGGTGTCTTTTATATAGGATGGTATAAATTTGGTAGCCATGAGGGGAGTTAGTTTGTAGTCCACAAATCCGGAGAGCTTTTCTGTGGCGGAACCATTACCGGATATTATAGGCCTTGATGGATGGTTTTGTTTGTGGACTTTGGGTTGTAGTCCTAATCTTCCTGGTTTCGGGTCTTTTGGTAGTATTGCTCGGTATAAGTTTTCATCTATAATTTTGGCATCCCACATGTCCTTGCATATTTTGGTAACTGATTTGGCAATTTTGTTCGTTACATCCTTGTCAAGAGTTTGGTAGATATTGCTGTCGTTCAATTGGCGGAGTCCTTCTTTAATATAGTCTTCTCTGAATAGTATGCAAGTTCCTCCCCCCTTGTCTGCCGGGACAATGACTATATCGCGGGCTGCTCTGTTTTTTAGTTCTTTTAAAGCAATTTGTTCATCCTTGGGCAGATTTGGATGTGCTCGTTTCTTTGGTGTGTTTTTAATAATTTCTTTTTTCACTATTTTGGCATAGTCGTCCAAGTCTACCCTACGTCCATGCTCCGGGGTCCATTTGCGGCGTTCTTGTAATGAGGAAGGTAATTTAGTATCATTGTAATGGTTTTCATTTTGGCTAATGTCGAAATCCTGGAAATATTCTCTAAGTCTGTAGTTTCTGATTGTTGTGTCTATGTCCGACGCCAATTGGAATTTGTCTGCGTTTAGAGGGGTTACACTGAATCCTAGTCCTTTCTGTAAGAGTTTGGTATGGGCTTCACTTAATTTAATATTCGAGTGGTTGTAGACAGTTGAATGCGCCTGTTCTATGTTCTTTATCTTTCGTTTTTTGCCTCTGGTAAAGCGTCGATTTTTTCTGTGTTGCTGTTCACCGTTTTCCTTAATTTGGATTTGTTTCGTCTTAGATTTCATCTTTTTTGTTCTCGTCTTTGTAAGTTTCTTTTCTAGTTTGGAAATCGTAAGTCCCAGTTGTTGTGTCAAATGGCTCCATTTTGAAGTGCTGTAATTTGGCCTGATCTTTTTCCGGTATGCTTGGATTTGAGTTGAGATGTCTTTAATTGCTATCCTTGCTTCTCGAAGTGACTGTTTGGTGAGTTGCTTTGAGAATTCAATATGGATGTTTTTCCATTTTTGTTTTCTTGAAATTGGTATTGCGCACGATTTTTCTTTAATCAATAGTCCCTTCGGGATGATCCCCTGGATATCATATTGTGCCAAGTTTTTTTCGTGGTGTAGCAGTTTTGTTCTTTTGATTTCCAATTTCCGTAGGTTGTTGAAAGAAAGGTTGGTTTTTGGGTGATCTTTGTCATTGAATCCAGACGAGGCAGGATCCATAGTTGGATACTAGCAATACACAGACTATGCACATATGCCAATACTAAGGGGACTTGGATATTGTGTATTGAACTGCAGGTCCTTTCTCTTTGTTTGCTTTCTACTTCGGATCCGTATGTGGTACTCACCACGAGGATGCTTGAACGAGATAGTATTAAAGTGATAAGTAAAAAGTAAAAAAATTAAACCAATTAAACTAGTTAGATATTAATCTGACTCCAAACAGAATATAATCGGTTGTTACTTGTTCAAGTCGAGACGTCTGTTAATTTGATATAACAGCAAGGATCTAGACAATTGCCTGTATAGATTTTATTTCCTTCGATAATTATATTACAATAAATTAAATCAAATAAACCAACTTACATTTTCAAGTTATTATTCATAACAGTAGCGTAGCGATCATCAGAATTATTGATATTTGACGATAAAGACGATGATCTCTTGTACGTTTGAGATCGCATTTAAAGGGGTACACAATTTTCTCGAGTATTCGAGACCGTTTTTACATTGATTATTCATGTAAAACAAGGCCATTCAACATATCACATTGGGAAATTATTCGCTATTTTGCACGTTATGTTGAAATATCATATTTAGAATGTTCTTGAATACTCTCCAATATTTAGGACTTAGGAATCATTTTTAGTCTTGATGTCATTATTTCCAAAATTTATGGTTATTTGTTACAAAATATAGCTCTCTATCTCTCTGTTTAGCCCAAATTTAGGAGATGATTGAGAGTTTTTAACGGGGGTATTTGAGATAGCAAATATCATTTGTTCTCCACTACAGCCCACCATAGTCATGAATTGGTGGTTAGGTCTCTGGTTCATAATATTTTAGCATCGGAATTTCAATAGGGATGTGTATTCAGGATAAATTTATTTTACGCCAAACCCCTAACTATGGTTCTCTAGGACTTGGCCTTATTGGAATTTTTACTCTGGCTCTGGCTTTTTACTCTGGCTCTTTTAGTTCACAAAGGAGATCCATATTTAGATTACCACCATACCCAGCTGGCTGTTGGCCCACGTTAAAGCGTTAGCGTAGCGTTAAAGATTGAATCTAGTGGGAGATAATTATTCGCTGGACTACTCATCGCTGTAAGGTGGTTTTCATAATCATTGGTCATTTGCGGCTTTCTCCTCAATCAGGTCTATGCATCTGAGCAAAGAAATGGTTGGCTAATACCACACCAGACTGGTAATCGAACGAGAAGCTTTGATATGTTCAAGCCGTCTTATGGCCTTTTCTTGAGCTCAAGACTAAATTATCGATAAAAATATGTCTAAGCGGTTTTTGTAATCCCGAAATCTTGAAACATTCATTCTCTATCGCACAGAAATGTCAGTCATCTGCTCACAAATTTAGTGACTAGTTTCGACTGTTAGTGTTAGCTATTTCCAAACGAGTTTTAGGCTCAGACAGAAAGCAAAACTTGATACAGCAAGGCATTAAGCTTTCTTAACAATCTATTAAAGAAGTTTCAATCATCTAAAATTTAATTTTTTCTTGTTTTTACAATTCAGAGCTAAAATCTAAGTCAATTTTTTGTATTGTCAAATTTCGGCAATTATCGATTGTGAATTTCTCAATACCTCATTTTAATCATAATTAGTCTCAGAAAAAATCTTAAGTCTACAGAATAATTGTTTGGATCGCTGTTTTGTAAAAAGTGCTTAATTTGAAATAAACACTGCTCTATACAGACTAGCACTTTATTATGGCCAAAAAATAGAGAAGCCATAATTTGTATACAAAACAAAAGCTTTAACATTAGTACATCGTCCTGATAGAAACAGTCCAGGGAAATGAGAAGTGTCCTTGCAAGGGGCAGATATTCTTGAAATCATCAATTTCGAAAACCATTCAGTTTCGTGACCGTAAAACAAAGAAGTAAAAATTAAAACGGAATAAAAAATAAGTCAAATTACAAAATTCCCGAAGTATGTTAACCAAGATGGTGGACTCCGGAACGTAGTATTTGTACCGGGTTAGGGTTAGGCCATAATTTCAGGTACAAATACTACGGAGTCACTTTGGTAGTCCCTAAACTTGAGGAAATGAGGAAAATTGGAAATAAATTATGGCCTAACCCTAACCTACTACGTTCAGATGTCCGCCATCTTGGTTCACATACTTCGGGAGCACCCAAATTACAGCATTCAGTATCAATTACAGATGATTTTGTATGGGATTTCATTTTCACACTGAAAGTGAGAAACCCAACAAGACGCTTCCAACCCAGTCAACCAACTAATTGTGCTGTCGTACGGAGGTCTGGCATAGGAATGCAAGCCTATTGTAAGATTAGGACTCTTATACTTGTATGAGAGATCAGTTTGCAACTACAGGAGGAGCCGTGCCATTGTTTTCAGGGGCCGTGCCATTGTTTTCAGGAGTCGCGCCAATGTTTTCAGGAGCCGTGCCATTGTTTTCAGGAGACGTGCAATTGTTTTCAGTAACAATGCCATTGTTTTCAGGAGCCGTGCCATTGTTTTCAGGAGTCGTGCCATTGTTTTCAGGGGTTGTTGCCATTGATTTCTTCTTGATATGTAATGAATCGTCGTTGTCTGCCCCAACCTGATCGAGTACTGCCATCACCTCCCGTTTATCATTGTCGATCTCTGGAGAAGGGGAATATGCGAAAATAATTAAATACCACAGGAAAAAAATACCGAAGTTGTCCACTGACAAACCTAGGGTGGCGATTTGAACTTTGATATAAAATCGCATAAAATTTGAATAAACAGATTGTAATTTTCAGATCCAATATCGCAAAGTGAAGCAAGACTTCATAAAACTTCAAATAAGTGCTCGATTATTGCCAGTTTACGAAGTCAAATAATCTCACAATTGCAGAATATCAAAAAGTCACTATTCCCCATCTCTATTCCATCATTCATGTTTCAAAATATTAACTTGGAAGGAACTCAGAACAGCACATTTCTGTTTTTTGCCATACTGGTTTGGAGGAGGGGATATATATTATCAAAGAATTAGTAAAAGATAATGCAGGAATATTTCATTCGTAGACTATTTCAGCAATTCGAAAGGAGAACAAACCTTCAGCGACGTGTCTCTCTTTGCTTCTGTCTCTCCGTCGGCATCTTGATCACGACGTTGTCGGTAAGAATCTCGATCTCTCTCACGACTGTTGTCTCGACTTCGACGACGCCGTTCACCACGATACTGAAGTTAAAACATCGGTTCACTCAGATTTTCTGAAGGTTCTCACAGTTGGGGGTCAAAAAGCGAAAAAATGAACTGCTATTTCAAATGCATCAGGGAGTACAAGTATTATAAATTGGGCCGCATAAAGTTCGCAAAAATCAATCAGAGCTCCAGAAAGTATGTGCACCAAAATGGCGCACAACTTGAACATAGTATGTGTACCGGGTTTGGGTTCAGGTTGTGCGCCATTCTGGTGCACATACTTCGGGAGCGCCAATCAACCAATATTTCGAAATATTGAATTTGAAGGGCCTTTTGATGCTAAGGCAGAAACAAGACATTTTCAAATTTGCTATTCTCACTTAATTCAAAAATATACCATCTTGGATAAAACTAATTCTGGAGACCAACATATCGTTTGTAATATCCGCATAATCAAAAAGCAAACAGTGTTCAATTACATTTTGTTATACTACATCTTTGCTCAGTGCAAGCTAACAAGCCCTCAGCTCAAAGTCAAAATGGTAGTAAACGCAGACTTTCCAAAAGACATATTTATATATATTTATTATTTTAAGCATCCAGCAAACCTCTCGTCCTGTTACCATGTCCAGTATGTGTTAACAACTCATGGTCATGGATGGCGAAGGACGCTGTAACTGACCATGTGAACCACCAGTGTTTTTGGGTTATGATAATCCATGCAAGACAATTATGGGCTCAAGATTCAAGGCCATGTTCTTCTTGCGGTCTCTTTAGTATTCCGTACCATAACGGGAGAGTCACCCTCGTACCTCAGCTCACTTCAGGTGGAACGAACATAAAAGAATGTGAAATACCTGGTCTCTGTCACCATGTCGATCTGAAATGAAAAATTGAATGGATTTAGTTTTGAGTTTTATTTGAAATTGAGTTTTGGTACAAAACAGGGATGACCAAACAAGAATAACCTACAATTCTGAAAATAATCAAAAATATATTCTCACATAATAAATATTATTTATATTTTTAAATTCGTTGTGAAATAACGGTGGTTTGATTGATTTCTATTTTCTACGTATTTCAATAAATAAGTAATAGGATTTATATATTTATCCCGGGGGAAAGAAAAGCTTATTTACATGGCGAACCACGGCATCTCGTTACTACTCCATGTTGGGTATGGGATTTGCAATCCAGAAACTGCTAAACTTTGCGAAATTTATTGCTATTCCACGCCAAGGAATGTGATAATCCACAAAGTTTGTCGGGAAGTGGCACCTGATAGTGATTTGGAAAAGGGAAATCATTGGTGGGAATAAGAAGTTGACTATCTAAAACGCCATTCAAATCATAATAAGAACATTGACGCACTAAATTAATTAACTCATAAGCGAAATGTGGAATCAAGAGGAGGTTGTTCGAACTTTTTCACCTCAATACCAACCGCTGAAGAGAGTGAAATTTTGAAAACCCCTTTAAGTGAAATAAAGCCTCACATAGATAGTGTTCCACCACGTGTTGAGCTGAATTTTATCAATATTTTTCCGCAAATTAATAAATAGTCGCATGTCAAAATACACTAAAATGCCACATTCATGGTGAAGCAAAAATTACAGCTTCGAATTTTTGATAAGCATATCCTTTGTCGCCAGGGAAGAAATCATGCGGGGCATAAGACAAGCAAAATTTCATACCCAAAATGTCGAGATTGTACATTAAGTTCAATTCAAGAGTCTTGCTGCACACTTACACAAATATATTTCTGTAACATTTCGTCTGACCGAGGTCAGACTTCTTCAGACAAGCATTTTACAACTATGAGTATTGTATTAAGTATTGTA